CCGAAAAAACACGCCGAAAGAACGCAGCCATCAAACGCAGCATTCATTGATACATAAGCTCTACTTTAAACAATCATGGTCATCATCACATCATCCACTTCAACGCTTCCGTGAGCACGCAGTGAACGTAGATACCAGAGTCGCATTTGAAACTGCATTCCTTGATACCGAGTGCTTGTTTAAACTCACATCCGTCGATTGCAGACTTTGATGCAAAAGTCTACAATGAGAGTCCGAGTTGAATATTGATGAAATCGCCATCTGAATCTAAATGATGGTGCACACATATATGCTTTTACACATCGCTGTTAGGTTGCTTTGCTGGGAAAATCATGTTCCCGGGAAGCTTTCTGGGAACATGATTTGTTCGGCTCTCTTAAGAGGGTGGGCTCTGGGGCTCACAGAGGGGCTCTTTTTGGCCTTGTCGGCAAGCCTATTGGACACATTGTTGGGGCGATGGGCGGAAGCCCAAGGAATGTTCCCGGAAAGCTCTGGGAAATGCGATTTACCGAGGCTTCTTGAGGGCCCGCAGGGGGCTTCCCTGGGGGGCCCTTGGGGGCTTATTGGGGTTTCCGGGGGGCCTCTTGGGAGCCTCACGGGGCTTCTTGGGAGCCTCTTGATGGCCTCCGGGGGCGTCCTAGGAGCCTCTCAGGCCAGAGACCTTGAAATGTCGCGCTCTTCGGGCCCTCTTGGGTTGCTCTTGGGGCTCTCTGGGGGCGCTCTGGAGGCCCTCTTGACTTATCTGGGGAGCCTCCTGGGCCGTCTCTGGTCTTTCCTGGGGAGCCTCTTCGGCCGTCTTGGAGCGATCTGAAGGGCCTCTGACGCCGTCTGGGACCGTGGGGAGGCGGAACGTGCGAGAGCGCAAAAATGCGGGGCCCTTTGGTGGGGCCTCTGGAGGCGCTCTTGGGGCGTCTTGGTGGCGTCGTCGGCCGTCCTGAGGCAATCTTCGGCGTGTCCGGGGCCTCTTGGGCTGTCTTGGCAATCTTTAGGGCCCTCTTGGCGTGTCGTGGCGTGTTTGGGAGCGGGCCCGGGCAGTCCCGGGAGCCCTGGGGGCTGTTGAATGCTAGGTGTTGTCTTGGAGGCGGAGGCTGTTGAGTGCAGGGTGGCGCGTGCTACGCGGAAGGCGGGCGAGCGGCCAGGCGGGCGGCGGGCGGGCGGGTGGCGGGCGGGCACGCGGGCGGGTCGGGATTTGAATGAATTCCTTAAGGGTGCTCTCTTGCAGCGGGAGCTTGTTGGAGACTGAAGCTGTGTACAGAGTGGTGCGTGCTACGCGGACGGCGGGCGGGCGGCGGCGGGTGCCCTAGGTGCTGGGTCAGAGGCCTCATGGGTGTTGGTTTGGATCTCGTGGTTGGCCTGTCGGGGACGTCGTGAAGGCAGTTTCGCAGCTTCTCGGTAGCCATTTTGACACCGTTGTGGGACCTCCTCGGGGCTGTTTCGTGGCCTCGGCCTTGTTTGGGTCTCTGGGTGCCTCTCGGGGGCCTCCTACGGCCTCTGGGGGGTTCTTTGGGGCCTCCTGGGGCACTCTTCAAGCGGGAGGGTCGAATTTTGGAGTCGTGGTCCCCCTCTTGGGCGCATCGTGGGGCCGTCTAGGGGATCTCTTGGGCGCTTCTGGGGTCGTCTGGGGGCCCTCTTGGGCCGTCTTGGGGCGCTCTTGGGATCTCTTGGGGGCCTATGGAGCCGCCCTGGAACGTCGGACAGCCGAAAAGGCTGGAAGGCCAAAATCTCTCCAGAACCTTCGCAAAAGTGACGAATTTGGTCTCTTGAAGCGCTCGGGAGAGGCGTCTTGAAGCGTCGTGGAGTGCCTTGGTGGGGCTTCTCGGGCCGTCTTGGGCCTATTTTGGGCGTCCAGGAGCGGTCTTTCGGCGACTCGGGGGCCCGCTTCGGCCGTCTGGGGAGCCGCTGGAGGCCCTCCTGGATTATTTTGGACCTCCCCGGCCGCCCCGTCCTCCCATGGGGAGTCGGGGAAGCTGTTTGTGGGCCCCGGGCCTGCCCCCCAGGGATATATATATATATATATTTATATATATGATATATATATGTATATATATATATATATACCTTCACACACACATATACATAACATATATTATATAGATATATATATATATTATATTATATATATAGATATACATATATATACAGACATATCAAGGCTCTCAGGGCTCTCAGGGCTCAGGGATCGATGGAAAATCAATAGTTGTTGGCTCTCAGGGCTCGCTCGGGGGTCCTCGTGGGGCCTTCTTGCGGCGTCTGGGTGGCCTCTTGGAAGCCTCTTGGGGCTTCTTCGGGACCTTTTGGGGCCTCCCGGGCGCCTCTTTTGGCGGAAAGCTCGAATTGTCGGTTGGATTTCCCAATCTTGGGCTTCTCTTGGGCGCCTTTGGGGGCCCGTTTGGGCTATCTTGGGCGCCTGGGCTGTCTTGGGGCCCTCAGGGGCGCCTGTTGGGCCGTCTTGGGGCGGTCTTGGGGACCTCTGATGTCGTCAAGAACGGTACGACAGCGAAAACAATCAATATGCTAAAAAAGTACGTTTTGCGAAGGGAATGGGGCTATGTTTGCCTCTAAGGGACGTCCTGGGGGGCCTCTCGGGGGCTTCTGAGAGAGTCTGCAAAGCCTTTGGAGGTGTCTTGGGGGCAATCTTGGGCATCTTGGAGCGGCCTTTGGGTGTTTTGGGTCCGTCTTGGGGCGTCTTCGGGTTCTCTTGGCGCGTTCCCGGGGCGTTTTGAGGGCCTCAGGGACGCCCCAAGAGCCTGGGCACACACATTTGTGGTCGTGGTCGCGGCCCCGGGCCCACGGACCCGGTGCGCCGTTATATGTATATGTTGGTTGAGCCTTGGAAACATTTGCGAATGCGGACTTTGGTGACGATTGGAATCGGTGGGGCCCTGGTGTCATCACCAGGCGGGGCGCAAGAAGGCTCGAAACCAGCCCTAAGAGGCTCCCGCCCAACACGGAACCTAAAAGGTCCAAGAGAGTCCTAAGGCTGCCCAAATTGATCGCCAGAATGTCCCAACATTGTCTCCCAGGAGTCCAAGACGGCCCGAGTAGACCACATGATAAAGGCGACAGGTATCACATGTTACATCTTTCTAGGCGGTGCGTGAAGCGTCGCCGCACATAATATATCAATTCGCGTCCTTGTCATCCTAAGGCGTCCACTGGCCCTAAACATAACCGTCAAATGCCCGCAAGCAACCTGCCAATATCAGCCAGCGATGACTGGAAACAGATTAGACGACTCAATCAAGGAGTCAAAGGAATCAAGCATGCTTGAAATCCGCAACTCAGCAAGCAAGTAAGCGAGCAAGCGAGCGCGCAAGCGCGCAAGCAAGCAAGTAAGCAAGCAAGCGTGCAAGCGCGCAAACGCGCAAGCACGCAAGCAGGAAAGAAAGCAAGCAAGCGCGCAAGCAAGCAAGCATTGGAAATAAGGGGGGGTCCATTGGAAAAAGGAGGGGGAGGGGGGGCCATTGGAAATAAGGGGGGGTGCCATTGGAAAAATAACGGGGCGAAGTACCACTTATGATGAGCTAGGACTCCTATAAAGCAAGCCTATTTGGATAATTGCCCCCAGCGACGACCCAGAAAACAAAGTTCCATTGATCGCCTCTTGCCCGGCCGATTTCCCGATCTCCCATTCCACGGGTGAGCTGCAAAAAACCTCGAGGCGGGTCCAGCCGTGGCGACGAAGAACCCCCAAGGAAGCCCAGAAGACAATTGAACAGCTGTCGTCAAGATTGCGTCTCCTCCTCCTCCTCCTCCGCGTCCTTCCTCCTCCTCCTCCTCCTCCTCTTGCTCCTCCTTCTCCTCCTCCGCCTCCCTCCTCCTCCTCCTTCTCCTCCTCCTCCTCCTCCTCCTCCTCCTCCTCTTTCCTCCTCCACCCCCAGTCACACCGAGAGAGAGAGAGAGAGAGAGAGAGACAGCGCCCCCGGAAGTCCCGACTCTCTCACCAGGGCAAGCTTGGCATCCTCAGTTGTTCTTGTGGAGGAGGAAAAGGAGGAGGAGGAGGAGGAGGAGGCGGAGCGTGCCAGATGGAGGAGGAGGAGGTGGAGGAGGAGGAGGAGTGCCGGTCCTTTTTCTCAAGGCCAGAGGCTAGGTTTGTTCTCGAGAGCCGCTTCCAGCTTGCAAGCGACCCGGAGCCACGCTCCGCCCTCTCAACTGAAGAAGATTAATGTGCAAAAGGAGGCAGGGGGGGAAAGGGAAGTGAAAGGCTTTGGCCACGCAAGGCATCGGACATGCTCTCTCTCCATGCCGTGCAGCGGCCGAGCGTTATGGACAGGCAATCACGTTCACAGAGCTAGACAGAGGAGGAGGAGGGTCCCTGAGCCCGAACAGTACGAAAACCTCCGTATCGAATTGTTCGATGCGCTGAAGGTCTGGGCCCCTCCCCCCCGCGCATCGCTCCCCACCCCAGGGTCTTGCCCAGCCCGCTCGCGGCCAGCCACTCCGAGAGAGAGAGAGGCAGGGCAGGATAGGTCAGCGTCGAACCTGGAGGTCGGCTCGACTCGACGTGTGCGTCGGATCGGAACGTGTCTGCACGAAGCCAAAACCGAGTCAGATGGGCAGAACCGGGATGCACAGCAACGCCATGCACGCGGGGGGGCGCACCGGATCGCCCGAATGTTGAAATGGAATAACATTGGACCGGTCAGATCACATCGTTCGGATCGATCATAGTCAAGTTCAGAACCAAATATAGCTTTGGGAGGTCTGCGCGGATGTCTCGGGGCGGCGCTGGACACCCCTCCCTCGCGCGCGGAGCGCGCCAGGGGCGGCGCCGGAGGCGCCGCCAGGGTGGCCCGGCGACGATCCAAGAAATCCGCGCGAGCTCCGAAAGATTAAGTTTACGCCGTTGCTTGTCCCTCGACGATCGGAATCGAACATGGACGAATATCGGATCGGATCGACAAATATGGAGCGTTCGTTCCCCGACGAAAATCGAATCGGATCGACCGGACCGAGAGGGAACCTGCGGCGGGGGAGGGGGGGCCATGGTCGCCTTCGGCGGTCCGCCCCGTGCTCGACGGCGAGCTCGGGGAGCGGGCTGGCGGGGCCGCCGCCTGGGCGGAGCTGCCCGAGGAGGCAAGGCGAAGACACCAAGCCCTCTTGCAGATCTCCGATGATCTGAGCCGCTTCGACACGCACCACAAAGCCCGTAGCGTGTTGACACGGAGACGTCAGCGGAACAGAACACTGCGTAGACATAAACTGTCGGAGCTCCGCGCGGAATTCTTGGATCGGCGCTGGGCCCCCCTCGGCAGAGCCTACAGCGCCGCCCCTGGCGGCCTCCGCGCGCCAGGGAGGGTTGTCCAACGCCGATCGGAGCAATCCGCCCAGATCTCCGAAAGTTTATGTCTACGTCAACGTTCGTTCCCCGAAGATCTCTGGCGATATGATTGTGTCAATAGTGGCAGTGTTCCTTCACTTCGACCTTG